TGCTCTAATCTTCTGCGATATTTTATCAGGTTCGTTCGGTAACAGCTTTTGATCGTAACGTCATTGCATTTGGCTTATGCTGTTGAATTATAATCTTTCCCGCGTTGTAGTACTCCCGTTTAACCGAGTTTTATTGCGTGCTGTGTACGAGGGTAGAGGCTTAATCTACCCTGTTTTCAGATGGGTTCCAGCGATATGGATAAAATGCTGGAGTCATTGGATCGAGCTACCAGAGGCATTAAACGACAGTCAACATGGGAACGTACATTGTCATTTATTGACAACATTAATAAGAAACCCCCACCAACCCAAATGGCTGTTGGAGGAGCAGCTGGATTGTGAGCTTTATTTGTTGTTGATTTTATTATAAAATCGAATCAAGCTGAAAATAGGGGGAACCGTAGATCTGCTTCAGTGTTCAAGCAAAGTCAATTTCTTTTCAAACAGTTTTTATACATTTTGTAGGTCCCACAACAGTGCGATCTATGCTATCCTACAATCTCGTTCGCTGCAGATCAAAGGGCGTGCCAAGTGTGATGGATTTGGCATGGCGCCAAACCTGCTTTCCATCAGTTGTTAAAGCGAGCTAGCGACGGTAGTGTATCATATCGTTTGCATCAGCCGTTTCCACTAACTGTTGTCGCTCTCCCGCTTCAACAACTGCTGGAGAACTGCTTTGGCGCATTGCCAAGCTCATTCCCGTCTAACACACCCTTTCATCCGTTGCGAACAGTAGTGGTGCTAGGATACACGGCGCTATTCTAGTATGGGTCCGCAGTCGCGACAGGCCACTTGTCATGGTTCTTCATAGACCTGTGAGGGGGGAGAGCTCCGAAGTGGATACTATGGGAAACATTTTGTTCACGAGGACGGTTCACCTATACCGAAGGTACAACGATTTTCTAAAAAAAGCAAAACAGAGAAATAAAAGCTAGAGCCCTTCCGAATGCAGTCCCGTTTTTTGAGCCGTGCCATCCCAGGGCAAACGGAGCTGGTATGACTCCGGGGTCAGTTTCCTACGACTGGCCCTGTCTGACAATGGTTACTGGGCTTCTGTCAACCAAACACGACTATCTAGAGGGATTTTCACATTGCATCTACTGGCTGAGCGTTTGGAGGGAGAGCAAAAAGTAAGAGGGAAGGGAAAAAAGGAATGGAGGTTTTGCGGTCGACAAGTATCCTGAGATGGTCTGACAGTAGGGTTTTCCAGGTTGCAGACTCCATTTTCAAAACTGTTATATGTTCTAGAGGTCCTTGTGGGTACCTGATGCCACGAAGGGGGAAAATGTTCCACGAGTTCTCGATTATCTCGGCGATAGAAAGCCCTCTTGTGTTCGGGTTTTTTTTGAATGGG